ATATGATATTAATGATATTGTTTGATAATTTCCACATTCTGTTAGATCACTTTTCTTTGGAATTGGCACAAATATGGATCTCCTTCAGTCAATTGGCCAGATAGCTCTCTTTCAAATTAATTGGCATACACAAGTAAGTGTCATCCATTTGTTGAAACATCTCAATGGCTATTCCATCAATTCCTGGAGCCCTATTTCTCACCAATTCCTGCAGTGCATCATCGACCAATTCTTTTTTGTACAGTGACTCTGTGTATTCCTTCCATCTTCTTTTGATGCTCCCTACATAATTCAATATTTTTCCCATGTTGTTATTGTTAAGTGCTGTCAAGTCAGTTCTGACTCATAGCTACCCTATGTACAACAGAACAAAATACTGCCAAGGACTATGCTAGCCTTACAATCCTTGCTGTGTGATCCCATCATTGGAGCCACTGTGTCAATCCATGTCATGGAGGGTCTTCCCATTTTTTGCTGACCCTCCACTTTACCAAGCATGATGTCCTTCTCCAGGGAATGGTCCCCTCCAACAACATGACCAAAGTAGATGAGATGAAGTCTGGCCATTCTTGATTCCCAGGAGCATTCTAGCTGCACTTCTTCCAGGACAGATTTGTTCATTCTTCTGGCAATCCATGATACTTTCAGTATTCTTTGCCAACACCGCAATTCAAAACCATCAGCCTTTCTTCAGTCTTCCTTCCTCATCATCCAGCTTTGACATGCATATGAGGCAATTGAAAATACCGTGGCTTGGATTAGGTGTACCTTATTCTTCAAAGAGAAACATTTGCTCTTCAGCACTTTAAATTACAGACTGAAGAAGTTGATAAAAATCTTCAATTCCTGAAGCCTTTTTTTTTTTTTTTTTTACCAATTCCTTCAGTGCAGCTTTGACATCTTCCTTCAATACAATCAGTTTTTGATCATATGTCACCTATGAAATAGATGAACATCAACCAATTCTTTTTGGTACAGTGACTCTATTCCTTCCATCTTCTTTTGATGTTTCCTGCATCATTCAATATTTTGTCCACAGAATCTTTCAATATTTCAACTCAAGGCTTGAATATTTTCCTCAGTTCTTTCAGCTTGAGAAATCCCTTTTGGTTTTCTAACTCTAAGTCTTTGCACATTTCGTTATAATAATTGATTTTGTCTTCTCAAGCTGCTCTTAAAAATCTTCTGTTCAGCTCTTTTAGCTTGTCATTTCTTCCATTTGCTTTAGCTAATCTCCATTCAAAAGCAAATTTCAGAATCTCTGGTGACATCCATTTTGGTCTTTTCTTCCTTTCTGGTCTTTTTCATTTACATTTACTTTCTTCACATATGATATTTTTGATGTTGAACAACAATTTGTCTGGTTTTCAGTCATTGGTGTCCAGTGTGTCCAATCTGTTCCTTAGATGGTCTCTAAATTCAGGTGGGATATAATCAAGGTTATATTTTGGCTTTCTTGGACTTGTTTTAATAGTCTTCAGCTTCAAGTTGAACTTGCATATGAGCAATTAATGGTCTGTTCCACAGTCATCTACTGGCCTTATTTTGGCTGAAGATATTGAGCTTCTCCATTGCCTCTTTCCACAGATGTAGTTTATCAGATTCCTGTGTATTTCATCTGGTGAGGTCCATGTGTACAGCCACCATTTACATTGTTGAAAAAAGGTATTTGAAATGATTAAGTCATTGATCTTCAAAAATTCTATCATGCAATCTCCAGCATCATTTCTATCACCAAAGCCATATTTTCCAACTACTGGTGATTCTTCTTTGTTTCCAACCTTCACATTCCAATTACCAGTAATAATCAATACATCTTGATTGCACGTTTGGTCAATTTCAGACTGCAGAAGTTGGTGAAAATCTTCAATTTCCTTATTGTTGGCTTTAGTAGTTGGTGCATAAATTTGAATAATAATATTAACTGGTCGTCCTTGTAGGCATATGGATATTATCCTATCACTGATAGCATTGTATTGCAGGATAGATTTTGAAACATTCTTTGTGACGATGAATGCCCCACCATTACTCTTCAATTTGTCATTTCTGGCATAGTAGACTGTATGAGGGGCAATCTACTTCCATAGTGATATCACTTCAGAAGCCCAAGGAGGGGTCTCTATGATTCGGGTCTGACTCGAGGGCACATAACAACAACAGACCATATGACTGAGTCAAAACTGCCAAAACCTCCAATTTTGCTCACCTAGGATATTGGCCTTTATGTGTTTCATTTCATTTTTTGACAACTTCCAGTTTTCCCACATTCATACTTCATACATTCAATGTTCCAATTATTAATGGATGTTTGCAGCTGTTTCTTCCCATTTTGAGTCATGGCACATCAGAAAATGGAAGTCCCATGTCATTAAGAGCAACTCTATTTTCAGGAGGCAGCCCTTTCCTGGTCATATTTTGAGTGCCTTCCAACATGAGGGGCTCATCTTCCTGTATTATATCAGACAATATTTCAGGGCTACTCATAAAGTTTTCCAGTAATATGTCAGACTGTGTTTCACTGCTATTGATAAGGCTTTCACTGGCCAACTCTTTTAAAAGTAGATGGTCCCTTCTTTATTCTGAGTCTGTCTTAGTCTAGAAGCTCCACTGAAACCTGTCCACCATGGGTGACCATGCTGGTATTTGAAATACTGGTGGCCTAGCCTCCAGCCTCATGGCAAAATGCAAGCCATCATAGTATGACAAATGGACACACAAGTGGAAGATACATGAATTACAGAATGTGGAAATTATCAAACAATATCATTAATATCATACAGGTAAAATTTTTTTGAAGATAATTCAAAAATGGTTGCAATAGTTGTCAAGGAACTTCCAGAAACTCAAGCTGGATTTGGAAGAGGATGTGGAATGAGGGATATCATAGCTGATGTTAGATGGATCTTAGCTGAAAGTAAATAATACCAGAAAGTGTTTACCTGTGTTTTATTGACTATGCAAAGACATTCAACTGTGTGGATCATAACAAATTATGGATCATATTGTGAAGAATGAGAATTCCAGAACACTTTATCTTTCTCATGAGGAATCTGTACATAGACAAAGAGGCTGTTGTTTGAACAGAACAAGGGAATAGTGCATGGTTTAAAATCAGGAAGGACATGCATTAGGGCTGTATAATCTCACCATACACATTCCTTCTGTATAATGAGCAAATAGTCTGACAAGCTGGAGTGTTTGAAGAAGACTGCGGCATCAAGATTGGAGGAAGACTCATTAACAACCTGCGATATGCAGATGACATAACGTTGGTTGCTGAATATGATGACCTGAAGCACTTACTGATAAATATCAAGGACTACAGTCTTCAATATGGATTATACCTTAACATAAAGAAAACAAAAATCCTCACAACTGGACCAATAAGCAGCATCATGATAAATGGATTGAAATTGTCAAAGATTTCATCTTACTTGAGTGCACAATCATCACCTATGGAAGCAGCACTCAAGAAATCAGACATTGTATTGCACTGGGCAAATCTGCTGGAAAAGATCTCTTTAAAGTGTTAAGGAGTAAAGATGTCACTGTGAAGACTAAGGTGCGCCTGATCCAAACCAAGGTATTTTCAATGGCCTCCTATGCATGTGAAAACTAGACAGTGAATAAGAAAGACCAAAGGAGAATTGATGTCTTTGAATTGTGATGTTGATGAAGAATACTGATAACACTGCCAGAAGAATGAACAAATCTGTGCTAGATGAAATACAGCCAGAATGCTCCTTGGAAGCGAGAATGGCCAGACTTTGTCTCATCTACTGTGGTCAAGTTGTCAGAAGGGACCATTCACAGGACAAGGATATTATGCTTGGTAAAGTAGAAAAGGTCAGGAAAAAAAGGGAAGCCCCTCAGTGAGATGGATTGGTACAGGGGCTGCAATGATGGACTCGAGCATAGCAAGGATTGTGAGGATGGCACAGAACTGGGCAGTAGTTTGTTCTGTTGTATATGGGGTCACTATGAATCAGAGCCAAGTCAACGTCACCTAACAATCAAAACAATAAGAAAAAGACCAACTCTTTCATGAACAGGATATTTTACACAAAAACCTACATACTTTTGAAACCTGAGAGTTTAAATTTTGGAAATAGTGTAACAATATTTATTTCCATTATTAAATGAGACACAGGAAAGTATTGTTGTTGTTGTTGTTTGCCATGGAGTCAGGCCCGACTCATAGCGACCCCTCCTTGGGTTTCTGCGGCACTATCACTAGGGAAGTAGATTGCCCAACCTTCCTTCCAAGGAGTGGCTGGTCAGTTTGAACCGCCAGCCTTCTGGTTAGCAGGCAAATGCCTTAGGCACTATGCTACCAGAGCTCCTGCAGGAAAGTACTGAAAAGTATTGGTGAAGCACTAATGAGTGAGAATATAGGTAAAAGGGAAACATTGTTGTAGAATGCTCACATGTATTTTCCAGAATTCTTAATTTTGTATTATAAATATAGTTTCAGAGCATAAAGATTTTGCATGATGTTGATATTCTCCAGTTTCAATTTTTATACTGTATAAATAGACACTGAATGAGTATTGATTATTTTTATTTATTATTCATTTTGTTTTAAGGTATTGTATATTATATTGCAAGATTGAAAATGGCAAGAAAAAGGAGGGGTGGATAATACCAGCTAGATAAATTTTATTTTATTTTTGATCTCTACCTAAATTTGCTGTTTTTCAGATGTTGGAACTTCTATCATATACCTTTTTTGTCACCTCTCAAAGTACAAATACATGTCAGTAGAGAGAATGACTAAAACAGCTGTAAAAGTTTGGATCTTTTATTGCCTTCATATACAGTTAGTAACTTCCCCATTCCCTGATCACATTCCATGCCAACTCTCTCCTATTACAAATCCTTTTCTTGAAATATTGATTTACAATTTAATGCTTCTTTCTGAAAGAGAATAAATTGCTAAATAATATAACGCCTCCTCAAAGGTACTTAGACTATATATCTGGTTTTTGCCTTTATGTCAGAGAGCCATCTGTGACAAAATCGATTCAAGAACAGGAGCAAGACCAGCAGTGGCTGACCTTACGCTCCAACTGGGAGAACCTCAATGGGACCACTTTGCATGAACTGCTGGTAAAAGGGTAAGAAATATCTAACAAGAGCTAGGTGAAACAGGAGGACTTTCTTGTTTCTAACTTAAAATAATCCAAATTTACCACATCAATAAAGAGCTTACATAAAAAGGCCATTGGCCTTTGTGGGTCAATATTATTTGGTTTTATTTCTTCTTTCTAAACATGGATTTTCTTCTCTTAGATAATTGCTTGTTTTATGATTATCACAGAGACATCATGTGGTAAGGGGAAAAAATTCTGTTTCTAATCTTGGAGTTTTTTCCATACCCTATTTGAACTAAATTCTCATGTCTGCATTTCCTACATTTACTATACAGAACTAGTTAACAGAAGGAATTGAAATCATAATAACTGATAAAACTTGTAGAGTCTGAGAGAAGAATCAAAGGCACAGAATGAAATTACTGTCAAGTGGCCTTAAAAATACACTTCTCAAAAATTTCCCCTCAAAAATCATAGCATCTTTGTAGTCTGTACTTTCTGTGCACCTCTCTGTGTCTTTCTGCACAAGAGGTACAGACTACAAGCATAAACACTTTCCTATACACAGTACTGCATTATCAATAATAGCAAACATTAATCTCCATGTGAATACATAGGTAACCAGGCTGAATGATCAAGTATGTCTAGGCAAAAGGAAATATACCCATGACTATATATAAGTTTGTCAGACAATATTTGTATATATGTATTTGTATGTGCTATAAGGATGTGTGTGTGTGTGTGTGTGTGTGTATGTATATATAATAGAGCTATCAGAGGGCATGAAGAAAGCAAGAGATCACTAAAAAGACAAGAAAAGAAGAGAAGACCAAAGTGGATGACAGAGGAGACTCTGAACCTTGCCCTTGAGTGGAGAATCGTTAAAGCAAATGGAAGAAATGAAAAGGTAAAAGAGCTGAACAGAAGATTTCAAAGAGCAGCTCGAGCAGACAAAGCCAATTACTAGAATGAAATGTGCAAAGACCTGGAGTCTGAAAACCAAAAAGGAAGAACACGCTCAGCATTTCTCAAACTGAAAGAACTGAAGAAAAAATTGAAGCCTCGAGTTGCAATATTGAGAGATTCTATGGGCAAAATATTGAATGATGCAGGAAACATCAAGAGAAGATGGCAGGAATACACAGTCACTGTACCAAAAAGAACTGATCGATCTTCATCCATTTCAGGAAGTGGCATATGATCTAGAACCAATGGTAATGAAGGAAGAAGTCAAAGCTGCAATGAAAGAACTGGCGAAGAACAAGGCTCCGGGAATTGATGGCATACCAATTGAGATATTTCAACAAACAGATGCCCCATTGGAGGCACTCATTCAGTTATGCCAAGAGATTTGGAGGACAGCTACCTGGCCAACTGACTGGAAGAGATCCATATTTGTGCCCATTCCAAAGAAAGGTGATCCCACAGAATGTAGAAATTATAGAACAATATCATTAATATCACATGCAAGTAAGATCCTACTGAAGATAATTCAGAAACGTTTGCAGCAGTATATTGATAGAGAACTTCCAGAGGTTCAAGCCGGATTCAGAAGAGGACGTGGAAAAAGGGATATCATAGCGGTTGTCAGATGGATCTTGGCTCAAGGCAGGGAATACCAGAAAGATGTTGACTTGTGTTTTATTGACTATGCAAAGGCATTTGATTGTGTGGATCATGACAAATTATGGATAACATTGAGAAGAATGGGAATCCCCGAGCACTTGATTGTACTCATGAGGAATCTGTACCTTGACCTGGAGGCTGTCGTTCGAACAGAACAAGAGGACACTACATGGTTTAAAATCAAGAAGGGAGTGCGTCTGGGTTGTATTCTGTCTCCACACTTATTCAATCTATATACTGAGCAAATAATCTGAGAAGCTGGACTATATGAAGAAAAACGTGGTATCAGGATTGGAGGAAGAATCATTAAAAACCTGAGATATGCAGATGATACAACTTTGCTTGCTGAAAGTGAGGATGACTTAAGGCACCTACTGATGAAGGTTGAAGAATACAGTCTGCAGTATGGATTACATCTCAACATAAAGAAAACAAAAATCCCCACAACTGGACCAATGAGCAGCATCACAATAAATGGAGAGAAGATTGAGGTTGTCAAAGAATTCACGTTGCTTGGTTCTACAATCGATGCCAATGGAAGCAGCAGTCAGGACATTAGACGATGTGTAGCATTGGGAAAGTCAACTGCGAAGGAACTGTTTCAAGTGCTGAGGAGCAAGGATATCTCCTTGAGGACTAAGGTGTGCCTGACACAAGCCATGATATTTCCAATCGCCTGGTATGCATGTGAGAGCTGGACAATGAATAAGGAAGACCGAAGAAGAGTTGATGCTTTTGAGTTGTGGTGCTGGCGGAGAATGCTGAAAAGAACTATGGACTGCTAAAAGAACTAACAGATCTGTCCTGGAGGAAGTGCAGCCAGAATGCTCCTTGGAAGCAAGAATGGCCAGACTTCGTCTCACCTATTTTGGTCATGTTGTAAGAAGGGACCATTCCCTGGAGAAGGATGTCATGCTTGGTAGGGTGTAGGGTCAACGAAAGAGGGGGAGGCCTTCAACGAGATGGATTGATATGGTGGCTGCGATGATGGGCTCAAGTATAGCAGGGATTGTGGGGCTGGTGCGGGATCGGGCAGTGTTTTGTTCTGCTGTGCATGGGGTCGCTATGAGTAGGAAACGACTCGACGGCACTTAACAACAACAACAACATCAGAGGACAAAGTTAAGATAAATTCTTAGCCACAGCTAACCACCCTGAGGAAGTGAGTTGTTAGGTCCATGGGCTCAAGACCATACCTGTGGGGACATCAAGCTCAATTGACAGAACATACTACACAAAAACATTGTGATACAGCTTTTGGTTAGTAGCAACTGGTGTCTTAAAAGTTAGCACATGGTCATTAAGTTGCAACAATTGGTCTCTCCTCATCTGGAGCAAAGAAGAATGAAGATAATCAAAGATGCATGGAAACAATTAGTCCAAGGGACTAGTGGACCATGCAAGCCTCAGCCTACCTGACCCAGGGACCAGAAGAACTACATGGTACATGGCTACCTCTGTCAAGCACTTAGAAAGGGATCAGTTTAGGAGATCTTGGAATGGGAGAAAAATGTGGAACAAAACCCAAAATCATAAAAAAGCCAGGCTTTGTAGTCTGAGAGAGACTGGTGAAATACTCAAGACTATGGCCTCTAGTCACCCTTTGGGTCTAGAATTGAACTCACTCTTGTTGCTTTCAGGCAAAAGATAGACAGGTGTATAAGGGTGGACATTTACACTCCATAAAACAATCAACCATGTGAGATCAGAAGGACAGTATTTGCATAGGGAGATAGCTCACAGGGCAGGAATACACAGAAAAGAAGGACACAAGGAAAAGCTAGCCACAGGGAGGAATTAGGAAGAGAGCTGTTACATTATGGGAATTGCAATCAATGTCATGAAACAAAATGTGAATGATCTGTTATATGGAAAATGAATTTTCTCTGTAAACTTTCGCCCAAATCACAATTGGGAAAAAAAAAAAATCAGCGTCTTAAATAAAGTTGCTTCCCTTGCATATGGTAAGGTTAGAGGGTGAGATGCAGGAGGGAGATAAATTAAGGGAATTGACAAATGCAATACTTAATAAATGCTTATTACATTACAGATGCATAGTGAGGTAGATTTACATATATTAACTCATTTAACCCTTTCAACAAACTCAAAATAGGAATGAGTATCCCATGTTTTTATAGACAAGAAAACAAAGGTTTAGGATAAAAAATTTACTCAAAGCTCACAGACCATGACAGTCTCTGAATTTAAAACAAGTTTTACTGACTCCAAAGCTTATACTAAGTGCTAGGTAAATTCTCTCTCAAGAATTCCAAAGGAAAAAACCACATGTGGGGCATTTCCATTCAGAATGTCCTGTCATTTTCTCCCCTACTTCAATCTCTCTTGTCTCTCCAGTCAAATTTCTAAGTATTTGTCCACTGAAGTATTTCTTCTAAAACAATGACCTGAATATTTCAACAGAGTGATTTGTTACCCCAAACTGGGAATGCCAGAAAAGTCATTTCAGATCAAATGAATCAATCAATCTAAATTGGGAGTTGGTAGACCTGGTTCTAATCCCAGCCTATTAACTAGATGTGTGATCTTACATAATACACAGTTTAATATAAAAGAAAGAGGTTGGAACAGATAGTTTTTGATGTCCTTTCCTACTCCTAAAAGCTATGATTCTGTGATTCAGCAAGCAACAACTTATAATTGAGTATCTCCTCTGTTGCTGGCTCAATTTTAAACTCTGAGGGGGTGTAGAAATGAACAAGGAAGACAAGGGTCCTCGTCTCATGGAATATGCACTTTATGAGTGGGGAGAGGAGACTATAAATTAATAAAGAAAAAGAACTTCAGGTTAAAAAAAGAAGAACTTTTGGCAAATGCTACAAAGAAATTGACTATGAGATGGTATGTAAGGAGTAGATGTGATGTAAGATTGTAGGAAGGGAAAAGGCAAGTACACTTTTCTGTATTATAAAATTTATAGAATACAAATAATTACATATATTCCCATGCAGATTTAGCAGGAAATAAGGTACAGTAAATCTTCAAAAAGGAACATGGACGTGATATATTTAGAATTTTTTTTTTTTTCCTCTGAGATATCTAGAATTTTAAGCACATCCCAGTATTTTAGAAAGCTTCAATATGTTTTTATTTTCCTTTTTAATTTAAATTATAAATAGATATTTATTGGTTGGAGGAGAACTTAATCATTAAAATTTAATATGCTCCAAACTATTATACATAAGGTCACTATGAGTTGGAGCCAACTTGATGGCACCTAACAATACTAAACGTAATTCTTTTGCACAGCCACATTGATAATACTTAACCACAGTCCATGTTTTTGTCTTCAAAAATTTTCTCTGATTGTTAGAATGTTCTTCCTTTCCTGGACCCATACTTCCTATAATTTCTAACTATTTGTTCTGATTCTTGATCTAGAGTTACATAGGAGAAATATTATCTCCTCTTCCTCCTGTCTGCTCCTTGTATACCTGAAATTTAATCTGACAGTCTTGGCAGATTCTTTTCAGTCTTTTGATTTGATCTTTAAATTTTGGTAGCAATATTTTATTCTTCTCATAATTTCAATGTTGTTTTTAAAATATAAAAAACCACACCCACTCTCTATAAGCATTAAAATCTGACATGCTCTCTCCTCAGTATCGGTTTGGAGAAACAATCCAATTCCTCCCCTTTCTTCTTCCTTAACTTGAGAATCATGATTTCAATCAACATTCTGGGTGGTATTATCAGCACAGACAATGTTGGGAAACTTGACTAACAACAGTTTCTCCTTCCACACATGTGAAATTACATAATGATATTAATTAAACTAAAAGCAAAGTACCAAAAACAAACAAACAAACAAAAAAAGCCAAACTCACTGACATTGAGTCGGCCCCAACTCATAGCGACCCCTCCTTGGGTTTCCAAGGCAGTATCACTATGGAAGTAGATTGCCCAACCTTTCTTCCAAGGAGTGGCTGGTGGGTTTGAACCACCACACACTTTCACTATATATCCTCACTGTGGGTGATATCAGACAACACATTTGACTTGAAAACTCCTTCACTAAGTATAATTGTTGTTCAAACAATAAAAGCCGAGCCTCTTTGTCTTTTGCCTTGCACTAATAAAGTGTTTTGAAGTGAACTTATTATGTCATTTTATATTTCCAAATCTAGGCAGTCTTGTCAGAGCAGAAGTATGATTTCTCTTCTGTGTACTAAACAAGGTGAGAGAATCAGTGTTGCAGCGATGGGATATCAAATTAATTTAAGTAGATTGGCTTAAGGGGAAATGATCATTTGTACATGGCAGAAAAGGCCTAGTGTTTTGCTGCCTTGGCTGATAAATCACAAAATGTGTCTTGGCCTACTCCTTGGTAGATTGTGGGCGCCGCCCCGCTGCCCGAATGAACAAGAGGATCCTGGGTGGTCGGACAAGTCGCCCTGGAAGGTGGCCATGGCAGTGTTCCCTGCAGAGTGAACCCAGTGGACACATTTGTGGCTGTGTTCTCATCGCCAAAAAGTGGGTTCTGACAGTCGCTCACTGCTTTGAGGGGTAAGCTGCACCATTTCTTTTTCACTTTGCCTGAATATGATGATTTCATCACTTGGGTATTCTCAGTGGGGTATGTAATTCTGCACAGCATTTCAGTGCAAAAGCCACCGTTGATCTACTCCTCAGGCCTTTACCTACCCCGACTTTTCTATCCTTGGTGCTGTCATTCAGTTATTACATATGCTACTCAATTATTGGCAATGGATAGTACATTGCTTATGATAGATGTCCTAAGGAGGGAGGAAGAGAAGTTTAGAAGGCTTACTCTTTAGCTAATGTCACTCTTTTTTCTACTCTTCTTAAATCCATCAGATACATAAGAATTTAAACAAGATGATTCACTTGGCTACTACAGTGAGGTTAGGACCCTGGAGGAACCAGTGAGTAGGTTAGGAAGCAGAGTTAAAAGTACATTATGCCTAAAGGTAATAAGAGTGAGAACAAGGAGAAACCCACCCCAAAGCAACAAATATCACTGCAGAAGGCCCATATTTATTGCTCCAACTATCCATTGCTGTGTAACTTATGAGCATAAAAGAACCATTTATTATGCTCATAGATTCTGAGGGTCAGACATCTGAACAGGACATAACTGGCAAAGTTTCCCTCTGCCCCACATGTCTCGGGCTGGAAGATTCCAAAGCTGGGGGTTAGAATCATCTCAAGTCTGGCAGTCAGTGCTCCCTGTTGATTGTGGACTTCAACTTGTCTCCAGATAAGACTCACAGCATGGTGGCTGGCATCTCTCAGACAGGGCTTTCTCAAAAGGAGCCAGGAGGAAGGTGTATAGCCCTTTTTGATCCAAGCTTCAAAGTCACATAGTATCATTTCTACCGTGTGGTTGCTCAAAGCAATCACAAATTTCCAGCCAAAGGGAAGAAACATTAACCTCCCCTTTCAGCAGGAGGAGTTCAAAGGATTTGAGGATGGGTTTTAAAAGCCATCCAGTCTATTCTATTTATTTTTTTAAATAATTTTACTTTATTTAAAAGTAATATTAAATAATAGGGATGATTTAAGACAAAAATAGCCCACAGTCTTTTCACCTAATTAGATTGATCATTTTCATTTGGCCAGATTAATTTCTAGAAAAATGCAATCTCTCTCTCTCTCTCTCTTTTTTTTTTTTTTTTTGTCTGTTATTATTTTTTCTCAGCTTTGCCACCTACTGACTGTGTGACAATGGATCAATTCATTAACTTCTTTGGGCTCAGTTTCCTCCTCTGTGACATGACAGAAACAATGATCCCTACTTCACAGGGTTGGTATGGGCATTAAGTGAGATACTCAATGTAAAGCTTTAAGAATCATACATTATATCAATAGTAGAACCCCATTAAAGGCAAACTCTTATTATTATTATTATTATTTTAAATTGCTAAAACCATGCATTTACAATTTCTCTTAACATTATAGTGTGCATATTTGTGTATTCTGCTAGCCTTGTTTTGTTTGTTTAGTTTTTATTGTGGTAAAATATAAATAGCAAAAAGCTTGCCATTTAACCATTTTTAAGTATCTAATTTAATATTAATTACATTTGTCATGTTATGCTACCATCACCACTATCCATCTTCACAGTTTTCCATTGTCCAAAACAGAAACTCAGCACCCCTTCAGCAATGACCCCCATTCTCTCCACAACCCCAGCCCCTGGGAACCAACCATTAATAAACTTCTGTCTCTATCAATTTGCTTATTCTAGATATTTCATAAAAGTGGAATCATGCAATATTTGTTCTTTGTGTCTAACTTATTTCACTCAGAATAATGTTTTTAAGGTACATTCATGTTACAGCATATATCAGAACTTCATTTCTCTTTATGACTGAATAATATTCCATTGCAGGTATACACCACATTTTGTTTATCCACTCATCTGTTCTTGGACCATTGGGTGGTTTATGCCTTTTGGCTATTGTGCATGGTACTGCGGTAACATTGGTATGCAAGTAGTTAGCAGTGTTTTTAATCTCCTCCAACACTCTCCTTTAATTCCCCATAATTCTCAAGGAAACATCTGTTACAACCTAGTGAGTGAGTGTTCCTCTACAGTTATAAACGCACTTTTGTTACAGGGTGTCATTGCTTATTTTTACTATTTGGAATCATACTATATACATTTGTTATAAGTTGTTTTTCTTATTTAGCAATATATCATGGCCATCCCTGAAGGTTAGACACATCAACCTTCTGGTTAGCAGTCAAATGCCTTAGGCACTATACCACCAGAGCTTGTTAACACAGCTCTAGTACATTCTTTTAAAAAGCTAAATAGTCCAAAATAGAGATTTATTATAATTAAAAATAAATGATTCGCCAGTTGATAAACATTTAGGTCAGTTTCAGTTTGCTGCCATATTAACAATGCTGCAATAAACCTCCCTGTACAAATATATTGCTTAGTGTTACCCTTTGATCCTCTCTTCCTTTCCTTTTTTTTTTTTTTAATTGTGATCTGGGTGAAAGTTTACAGAGCAAATTCACTTTCCATACCGTAGAATTCACATACATTTTGTCTCATGACATTGACTACAGTTTACCACAATGCAACAGCTCCACTCTCTCTTCCTCCCCATGGTTAACTCTTCCCTGTGTCCTTCCCTCCATGCACTCCTGCCCCCTGAGCTATGTCCCTGTGCATAGACAGACTTCTGTTCTCCCATGATTGTTTTCTTCAAGGAGTGTATCTACCTAGTGCAAATGTTCACCTCATATGTCTGTCTTTTGTTTGGCTGGAAGCCACAGGTCTGGGTTCACTTCCAGACCTAAAGGGCAGTAGGAGCCATAGTCTCAGTGGTTCCATCAGGCTCTATCAGACCAGCAAACTAGGTCCCTTTGTTTTTTTTCAAATGATTTTGAGTTTTGTTCCACATTGTTCTCCCACTCTGTCCAGGATCTCCTACAGAGATCCCCCTCCGAGTGGTTGACAGTGATAGCCAGGCACCATATAGTTCTTCTGGTCTCATAGTCATATAGGCTGAGGATCACATGGTGTACCAGTAGTTTGGACTAATTGTTTCCATGAATCTTTGGTTTTCTTCATTCTTCTTTGCTCTGGCAAGGCGAGACCCATCATTGCATCTAGATGGCTGCTTGCAAGCTTTTCAGATCCCAGTCGCTACTTGCCAAAGTAAGAGGTGGAACAATATTTTGTGTAGTATGTTATGCCAATTAAGCTTGGTGTCCCCTGCAACCATGGTCCTGAGCCCATAGGTCCAACTACTCACTCCCTCTAGGTAGCTGGCTGTGCCCAAGAAGTGACTATAACCTTGTCACTTGTCAGCTCTACTATACACCTGGGAATTTTTCCAGAATGTACAAATACACTTGTAGAACCATTGTCTGCCAACCCTATACATGGTCTTGGGCACATTTCTCCCTGCATAGACACACCTAATAGTTCAGCCTGTCCAACCATCTATCCACCCATCTATCCATGTTTGTCTTCACTGACAACCCAGTACTGTATGTGCAAAAGGGTTCATCTTTGTTGTCTGTGCCTCCCATGTACCTCTCTATGTCTTTCTCAATGCCACCATGTTGATCACTCACATTTGGTACATTGCCCTTCTCTTCACCCAAATCAATACTTGTCTCTACCTATCTAGTGTTCCCTCCCCTCCTCTCCTACCCCTGGTAACCAACAAAGAAAATTTCCTTCCATATATAAACCTTTCCTTGATTTTTACAATAATGGACTAATACAATATTTGTTCTTCAATCACAGAAGTGACTTTTTTCACTCAGCAAAATGTCCTCCAAGTTCATCCACATTAGGCAGTGTTTTGCAGATTCTACGTTATTCTTTAGGATTGCACAGTATTCTATTGTATGTATGTGCCATAGTTTGGTTATTTATTCTTCAGTTGATGGACACCTATGTTGTCTCCATCTTTTGGCTATTGTAAATAGTGCTGCAATGAACACAGGTGTGCATATGTCTGTTCTTGTCCTGGATCTCACTTCTTTAGGACATACACCTAGTAATGGAATGGCTGGGTCAAATGGTATTTCTATTTGCAACTTTTTAAGGAATACTGCTTTCCATAGTGGTTGTACAATTTTACATTCTCACCAGCGGTGTATGAGAGTCCCCCTCTCTCTGTATCCTTGAAAGTATTTGTTATTTTCTGTCTTGTTGTCCTTTGCTACTAGTGCTGGAGCAAGATGGTATGTCATTGTTGTTTCAATTTGCATCTCTCTAATGGCTAATGATCATGAGCATTTCTTCATGTTTTTGGCTGCCTGAATATCTTCTTTGGTGAAGTATCTATTCATGTCTTCTGCCCATTTTTTAATTGGATCATCTGTCTTTTGGTTATTAAGGTGTTGGAGTTTTCTATTAATTCTAGAGATAAGTCCCTTGTCAGATATGTCATTGCCAAATATTTTTTCCCAATCTGTAGGTTCTCTTTTGACTCTTTTGGAGAAGTCTTTGGAAACACATAAAAACTGAATTTTTAGAAGGTCCCATTCATCTAGTTTCTCTTTTGCTGTTTGTGCATTTTGGGTTATGCTTGATAGTCTATTTATACCTTTTATCAGGGCACCCAAATTTGCCCCTAGTTTTTCCTTGAAGAACTTTATAGTTTTATGTTTCACATTTAAGTCTTTGATCCATGTGGAGTTAGTTGTCAGCTCTACTACACACCTGGGAATTTTTCCAGAACATACAAATACACTTGTAGAACCATTGTCTGCCAACCCTATACATGGTCTTGGGCACACTTCTCCCTGCATAGACACACCTAATAGTTAGTTTTTGTGTATGGTGTGAGGTACAGATCTTGTTTCATTTTTCTGAAAATGTTTTGCCAGCACCATTTATTAAACAAACATTCTCTTCCCCATTTAATGGATGTTGGCCCTTTGTCAAAGAGCAGCTGACCATAGGTTGACAAATCTATTTCTGGGTTTTCAATTCTATTCCATTGGTCTATGTGTCTGTCATTATGCCAATACCAGGCAGTTTTGACTACTGTGGCTGTATAGTAGGT